CGGAATATCATAAAGAATGGGCTAAGCATTGGACAAAAATTAAAGGCATCCACAAAACAATAAATTCCATATGCGAAGCATTGCAAATAGCTGTCAAGCAATGCAATCAAAATAATACAGTGGTCAGTATAATTAGTGCTGATACAGATGGTTCTAGTCAAAATCTCAATCAGCTAGAACCATCATTCATGTATACACAAATATTCAAGGAAATACTCCTTGACATGGAACATGACCAAGAAGCCATTAAAGACTTGGTCACATATTGCCAAGAACAATACGAAGGCAATACCAAAGAACTCAAATTAATCAATGAATTTCAACGTAATTATCATCCAACATTGGCCTTATGGTGGTACACACGCCAATGCTTCACGTTCAACATGCTCAATCGAGCATTAAGAACATTGGATGGCGACATTATCATCCGAATGGGATTTTTCCTGTGTGATGTTCATCGACAAATTGAAAAATTATACAGCCAACAGGTCAGTCAATATCATGGGAAGTCGTTTCTAGTTTATAGGGGTCAAGGATTATCGACTAGCGACTTCGAAAAACTTGCAAAAAACAAAGGTGGTCTCATATCTTTCAATAATTTTTTATCCACCAGTACAGATCGTGATGTCTCCTTCGCTTTTGCCGAAAGCAACTCAGAAGCAACCGATATGGTCGGTATTCTCTTCCAAATGACAATAGATCCTACTGTCTCATCGAATCCTTTCGCCTCCATCCAGGCGGTGAGTTATTTCAAGGGTGAACAGGAAATTCTCTTCTCCATGCATACCGTCTTTCGAATTGGTGAAGTCCGAAAAATTGACAAGGAAAATCCACTTTATCAAGTGGACCTTAAACTTACGTCGGATGATGACCAACAACTTCGTCGATTAGCCGATCGTGTAAGAGAAGAGGTCGATGGCAGCGGCTGGTACCGAATGGGTATATTACTATTGAAAATAGGTCAATTCGGTAAAGCTGAGGAATTGTATCTCGCGCTACTAGAACAGACAACCAACGACACTGCTACAGCACGTATCTATAATATGCTTGGAGAGGTGAAATACGAACAAGGACAATACAAAGAAGCAGGATCATTCTACAGGACAGCTCTTGAAACCTATCGAAAAACTCTACTCAAAGATGATCCAACGTTGGCTGAAATTTACCAAAATATTGGTGCAGTGCATTGTACCATGGGTAACTATTCGAAAGCACTTGAATATTTCAACACAGCTCTTATCATACGAGAAAAGGCCCTGTCGTCGAATCATCCCGACTCGGCTGACTCCTACTCCTGGATCGGCTTTGCCTACAATAAAATGGGTGACTACTCGAAAGCACTTGAATTTTACGAAAAATCACTTAAAATAAGAGAAAAAGCTCTGCCTCCGAATCATCCCGAGTTGGCTATTTCCTACAACAACATCGGTGGAGTGTATAACGACATGGGTGACTACTCGAAAGCACTTGAATTTTACGAAAAATCACATCAAATCCTCGAAAAAGCTCTGCCTTCTAATCATCCCAATTTGGCTAGTTCCTACAACAACATTGGTGGAGTGTATAATAACATGGGTGACTACTCGAAAGCACTTGAATTTTACGAAAAATCACATCAAATCCTCGAAAAAGCTCTGCCTTCGAATCATCCCGATTTGGCTATTTCCTACAACAACATCGGTGCAGTGTATTACCACATGGGTGACTACTCGAAAGCACTTGAATTTTACGAAAAATCACATAAAATCTACGAAAAAGCTCTGCCTTCGAATCATCCCAATTTGGCTATTTCCTACAACAACATCGGTCAAGTGTATAACAACATGGGTGACTACTCGAAAGCACTTGAATTTTACGAAAAATCACTTAAAATAAGAGAACAAGCTCTGCCTTCGAATCATCCCGATTTGGCTACTTCCTACAACAACATCGGTGGAGTGTATAACAACATCGGTGACTACTCGAAAGCACTTGAATTTTACGAAAAATCACTTAAAATAAGAGAAAATGCTCTGCCTCCCAATCGTCCCGATTTGGCTAGTTCCTACAACGACATCGGTCAAGTGTACAACAACATGGGTGACTACTCGAAAACACTTGAATTTTACGAAAAATCACATAAAATAAGAGAAAAAGCTCTGCCTCCGAATCATCCCGAGTTGGCTATTTCCTACAACAACATCGGTGGAGTGTATAACGACATGGGTGACTACTCGAAAGCCCTTGAATTTTACGAAAAATCACTTAAAATAAGAGAAAATGCTCTGCCTCCGAATCGTCCCGATTTGGCTAGTTCCTACAACAACATCGGTCAAGTGTATAACAACATGGGTGACTACTCGAAAGCACTTGAATTTTACGAAAAATCACATAAAATCCTCGAAAAAGCTCTGCCTTCGAATCATCCCCATTTGGCTATTTCCTACAACAACATCGGTGGAGTGTATAACGACATGGGTGACTACTCGAAAGCACTTGAATTTTACGAAAAATCACATAAAATCCTCGAAAAAGCTCTGCCTTCGAATCATCCCAATTTGGCTACTTCCTACAACAACATCGGTGGAGTGTATAACGACATGGGTGACTACTCGAAAGCACTTGAATTTTACGAAAAATCACAT